CGCGCCGCCGCCGCCGCCCTGCCTTACAACCTCAGCCTGGAGGTGTTGCCCGGCGCGCCCCTCTACCGGGACCCGGCCTCCCTGGCACGCTGGCTGTGCCAGGCGCTGGTCGTGCGAGGAGTGGCCGCCGTGCTCGCCTTTCCCGCGTCCCGGCGGGAGCTGCTCCAGGTGGATTTCGCCGCCGCCTTTCTGGACATTCCCTTCATCAGCATCGGACAAGAACCGGAGGAGGAGGAAGAGGAGCGGGAGGGCGGCGACGGCGGCGACGGCGACGAGCCCCCGATGCCCTTCAGGACCTGGGTAAGCCTCGTTTGCCCTCCCTCTCTGGAGCCTCCATAGCCAGGGGCAGCCTGTCTTCCAGGGCCGCTGCTGAGGAGAAAGCGCAGGGAAAGCCGTTGTCAGTTCAAAAGATGCTGGGAGCCTCCATATGCGGGTGCAATCTACCTTGGGGGAGGCAGAGTACTGGGGAGAGAAGACTGGGCAGTTTCTGAATACAGTAGCCCTTTTGTTGACTCATGTGGTGCCCTGCTATTGCAATGGGGTATTATGATTATGGCTATTGACTTCCACACCCACGAGCATTCTTTCTTCCTGGATGCTAGAAAAATATCTGGATGCTAGAAAAATATCAGCAGGAGAGTTCTGTTGCCACTGGAGTTAATTTCAAAATCATTATCTAGGGCTCTCATGAATTTCCAGATACAGCAACTGTTTACTTTCATCTGTTGGATTCAGGGAAGATCCGTAATAGATCCTCATCCTGCGCTTAGCACAACGGGACTTGTTGTGGTTCTGTTCCTCCAGCAGATAAGCTATCCTTAGATACAGAAGCTCACAAGAATGTACCCATTAACACCTATCTGTATCCAAAAAGCAGAGACAAATGTGGTACTTTCCAGATGTCTTGAACTTCAACTCCCAGCATCCCTTGCTAGGACAGTTTAACACATCTGGGGAGCACCAGGCTGGGGAAGATTATAATAAGTGAAGCTGGTTTCTCGCTACCTCATTTGGCAGTGAATAAATCATGTGTGTCCTCATGTGGCTTTCTGGTCTCTACTAGGTATGGTAACTAAATAGAGCCTGCGGGTACAGTGGCAGTCTCTCTCTGCCATACCCTGGGGACAAACCAAGATCTGCTTTGATTCCTGGGTTGTGGCATTCTCAGAGGCATCATAACTGCCCGGCGTCGGAAACCAGGTGTTAGAATTTAATCATGAGATCGATGTTTTTTTCAGTGTCACATCAAGACAGCTCTTCTTCAGCCATCGTGCAGAGTGGATCCTCCTTATTCAGAGGCGATCTATCCATAAATGCTAGATGCTAGGAAAAGGGGAGCCACTATGTTCAGAGGCAGTCTTCCCATACATAATGGGTACCAACGGATCAAAGAAACTGAGGCAAAGATAAGAAAGGCTATTGCAGGACAGCAACCCTGTTAGCTCTGGAGCTGGTGAGAACTGGAGTTAGACGGAAATCTGTAGAACTGCAGATTTCTAACTTCTGGATGATATGTAGAAACACAGGAAACGGTTGAACTGTAAGTCATGTAGCTCAACGCTGGCTGTGTTGGCTCTTTGAGATACCTGACATACAGTATGTGTTTTCAGCCTTTCTGGGAAATGCTGGGATCTGAACCGGAGAGCTCAGCGATCTTTCCAATGCAAAGCTGATGCTCCCCTCTCAAACCACGGGGTGCTTCTTAGAGCCTTAACTCTACCCACTGACATTTCAGGAGAGGACAAGAAGGCAGATTTTAAATTAGCCCCAGTACCTGTTCTGGCATGTAAGTCTCCCCCAGAATAAAGTGGGAAGGCAAGAGATTGCCTTCCGTTCTGTTCTTGAATCACACCCACAGCTGTTGTGATAGGAGGAAGAGCTTTTAAGCCTTATTTATTCATCTATTTATTCAATTGGTATGGCCACCCATCTCAAACAAGTGACTCTGAGCGGCGAACAAGCATAACATCAATTAAAAACCAATCGCAACCACAATGCAAAGAGAAAAATGAAATACTTATAGCAGCTGAGAATTATTATAATCCGTAGATGTTGGCATGATGGTGTCCCCCCAACAGGCTCTAAACCCTCTGTTTAGAAGCTCTAATGCCTCTGCTTTTTGACATTTGTTACAGGCAGTTTCTATTTTGCAGAAGGAAGGGAATTTCCAGAAAATGGAAGTTTTGGTTGTCTGCCACTGTAGGCTGGGATCCAGTGGATCATTACTCTTCTGAGCAATTGCCATTCTAGGGATCCTTTTTTGTGGCGCCTTCTGCCTTTCTTCCCCAACGTACTGCTGCTCCAAGTCAGGTGGCCCAGAAAACTGGGTTCACACTAGGTACTGCCTATATTAGATTTATTTTTTAAAAAAAGCATATAAATTTGTTAGCCCTTTGTAAAGAAAAGCTGTCCTCTTCCATCCACATAATTATTCTATTTAACTCAGCATGGAGTGACAGCAGCTTCTGGGGTATTTCAGGGACGGAAATAGGGTTCTTCTGCAGAGGTGTGTGTGCCATTGTGGTATAGCCCTTCCCCACTTTTGAATCCTTTTCTGCCTCCAAAGAGATCAGACCACTCCTCTCTTACCTTCACAGCAACCTTGCAAGGTAGGCCGAGGCATAATAACTGGTTCGTATCCAATCAGTGAAATTGTTTTCAGAGCTGGGATTTTAACCTGGTGGTTCCTGCTCTACCTCTCAAGAGAATAACCACCTAGGTGTTATTCTGCAGTGCCACGGAGTAATCCCTCCTCGTGACCCAGGGCTGAGTCAAGCAATTAACAGCTGGAATGTTCCCCAAGGCTGGAAATAAAGCTTATCGGGGATCCATATTTTGTGAAAAACGGGGTTGGTCTTGGAGCCAGACTTTTGAACAATGCCCACTTTTATTGGCACACGGCCACTTTGCTTTTGCCCTGCTGGTGCATATGTCACACTCCATCCCTCTGCTGTTCTGCAGTAGCCTGCAGAGGATAGTTAAGGAATGGGTTGGGTTTGTGAAGCCAAGAAGGGCGGGCAGCTGCGCTGGAACGGGGAGGAGGCAGCTCCTCGAGATGCACCGGTCGCCCAAAGCCGGGGTCATTGGCACCCATGTGTGGCACAACGAAAGCATCCTGTGCCTCTTGAGACAGTGAGATCGAGCGTGCATAGGTTTCCCCCCTCCGTCATGTGCCACCCAGCTAAAACGCTATTTGGGGGACAAACAGAGGACAGGTGAGGTCCTGCAATCCCAAATGTTCCTTTTCCTCTTTCTTAAGCAATTATCTGAACAGAATAAATAGGCTCACAAGGTCATGTCAAGATTCAAAAGGGTGATTTCCCCCCCTTTTTCCCCAAATCACATCATCCTCCTGATCAAAGCTAAGATATCCTTCGCTCCGTGTCTCCTTCGACTCCCTGCAACTAATGTCCCCAGTAGGCCATCCGTATTTCACACACAGGCTTGGCAAAAACCAATTTCCTGCTGGCACACTAGTGAAAAAAGCCAGTCAGAAACCAAAGCTTGTGCCCAGTTTGCATTTAAAGCCTGAGAGCCTTTCACTTGTTCCCATCACGCTGGTCCTTCAGCTGGACCTCCCTGAGGATCAGATGCGGTGGCTATGATAGTAGCAGAGCCCTGGAGATTTCACTCGTCTTTGTGAAGTGATTGGTGTCTCTGAGCGCAGGAGAAAGCTTTTGGAAAGTGAACTGATCTAGCAAATTGTCAGTTGCAGAGAATTGGATGGTTTCGGCTTTGTTAAATTGGTGTTCTAGGCTCGGAGCACTTTACACCTTAATTCCAGTTGAGAGACTGGAATTGCAAACGGAGAACTGGTAGGAGAGGTATGAAATATAAATAGAGCATGAAATGAAATTGGAACAGCTATAATCAACTGGAAAGTGGCTGGGTCAACTTTACCCAATCGGTGAGCTCCAGATAGGTTGAGACTGCAACTCCCAAGAATTCCAAAAAATTCCCGCTAAGAATTCTGGGAGTTGCAGTCCCACTACACCTGGGGTGCTAGGTTGGGGAAAGCCCAGGCTGGACCGTTGAGAGATGCTTGGATAGTTCTTATTTGATCTGCATCCCTGGAATTCTGTGGATCTGGGGTACTGTCTATACCACCCCAAATGCTAGAAGGTTCTTGCAGCAGTGGGGACAGGAATCACACAATGTGAGGGATCTGTGGTAATCCATTATGAGTTTCACCTATCCGGTGCATCTTGGAGGCGATCCAACTTGCCTGTTCCCATATCAGGCATCTGGATCACCTAGGTCAAACGATTCTCAACTTTGGCAGTTTTAAGATGTGTGGACTTCAACTCCCAGAATTCCCCAGCCAGCATGCTCCCATTTGGAGAATTCTGGGGAACTGAAATCCACACATCTTAAAGTTGCCAAAGTTGAGAAACACTGACCTAGTGATTTCTTGGTAGGTTATTAGCCCTAACAAAGAAGACCCTGACTTTACACAGTGCGAGATTCTTTGCCCGAAACTAGTTATTGCGTCAGCTTGGATGGGATTTAAACAGGGATCGGTGAATGATTGCTGAAGAGTTATGTTCCGTCAGTGACAAATGGAGCCTCCAAGTATAGTGGTAGTACACCTGAGCGACAGCAATTGAGGACAAGTTGCATTTTCATACCTTTTGAGAAACAGAATGCTGCTCTCGATGGATCTGTGACTTGCTCAAGGGGGGCATTGCTTGATTTCTGGGGATTTCCAGAAACATTCTCAAAGGTCCAAGTCTTTGCCTTTCTCTTCTGAAAGTAATCGGCTGAAAAATGCAACAGCAGGGATACAAAATGGATAGTGGCTTTTGAGAATGGCCACGTTTCAGGGTGTTTAAAGTGTTCTGCTAGTTGCCCGATCTTAGCACTCTTACAACAACTTTATAAAGTTGACCCAGAGTGTAATAATCCCCCCCACTTTGTGAAAGAGCCCCATGTCTGTGGAAAATCAAAGTTGGAGGATTTCTGATTTGTAGATTGACGGGCACGTCAGACACTGCGTCAAGTTTCAGTACGTGATGAGCATATGCAAGTCTTTCTAGAGCCTTCTCTGCATCTGT